TTCATTTCACTTTTTTTTTTTTTTTTTGCTTATAATGTAGTGGAAACAGGAGAATTGGAGGAAACTTCTCTTCCTCTCCCTCAGTGGGAGTGGTTATGAAAGAGTAATTCTTGACTTAATAAGATAGCCGATCATAATAGTGCTTCCCAGTAGAATCTACACTATTATGTTCAATAAAATTGTCTTCTTTTCTAGCTCAAGAAAGACTTTCTTGTTAAATTGATAAAACTCTCCGTGTGGAAAGGTAAAAAGAGAGTGGTGAATATAGCATCTTTTTTCCCTGCCATCACTGTAGATAATAGTCTTTACCTTGATTTGAAAGAAGATAGAGGCAAAGTGTTAATCTCTAATATAGTTGTTGATATTATGTTTCACAAATTTAGATGGCATAACAAAGGCTACTTAGAGTTTATTAGTGTACTCATTTTTTTTTCCTAACTACAGTGTGGTCTTATTCTCTATGGACTTTGTAACATGGAAGATGTAATATATCGCATGAGTTCAGAAAATATATTCTGGACTCCCAGGGAGGAGGATCGCCTAGGTTTGAATTCAGACTCTGTGACTTATTTAGCTGTGTGACCATGGGCAGATCATCCAACCTTTCAGATGCTTTGGTTTCCTACTTTACTTTATAGGGTTATTATAAAGATTAAAGATTTATTAAAGGGACTTATGTCAGTATGAGTGCTATGCTGTTTGCTATTATTATTACTAATGTTTATTAAAAAAAATTTTTGTTGCCATTACATGAGTTAGGCTTTAGACATTCAGCCCAAGACAAATAGATATATAGTTGCTTCTCTTCCAAAAGCTTAAATTCTAGCAGCAAAGATAGACCTTGGGAAAGACATTAGTAATCCAAGTGTCAGCAAAGAGGAATACAGAATTCTTAACTGTGTCTTGAGGATAGACTGGAGGCCAGGCAAGGAAGATATTAAAAGTAGATAAGTAAAGAATGAGATGAGCATTCCAGGCAATGCAACATCATTTGCAAAGGCTCTGAGGTGAAAAAAGATCCTGATACATTGAAAATTTAAAGGAAAGTCAGTGTGGCTACGCAATACAGATAATGAGGAAAGAGTGGTATGGGATGAAATTTGAGAAGTAGGCAGAGATCAGATATGGTAAGGCATTGCTGAATTGAAGGATCGAAGCCTTATAGCACTGGGAAGCTATTAGATTTGCATTTTTAAAGGAGTAATATGTCTGCTAACAGGAGATACTGATCCAAAGGAAGATCTGCCACAGATATAGCAGAAGGAGGCTACAGAAGCAATCCAAGGAAGAAATAATACCTGTTGATAGACTAGAATGGACTAGAATGATGATAGTGGAAATGTGGAGATGTGGAGATCTTCCAATATTAGCTTGAGGGACTTGATTGTAAGGGACATATGTAGGAGGAATCATGACATTTAGCCTTGTGGCTTGAGAAATTAGGTTGATTATAGTGCCATTTATGGAGCTGATGAGAACACACTGGAGGAGAAATAGGTTTGGACATATGTAGACTAATCCAGTTGGAACATATTAAATTTGAGGCGCCTGTGAAGTCAGTACGAGGAGATATCTGTAGTTAGTTGGATACATTTCTTGTGTCTCTCTTAAGCTATTTAAGAATCTGGTTATTGGGAATAAAGGATGGCTTAAAATAAGAAGGACTCTTCTTTAAAGCAGGTAAAAGGAAAATGTGAGAGCAAGTGATCTGAAACTGATATAAATGAAGGACAGCTGGGGATACAGACTAGCACTCCAGGGAATGCTAATGGAAAGCTGGAGGAATGAATTTTATTTCAAAGATATGCTGAAAAAGCACTTACTTCAAAAGACTTTAAAAGGTTATAATGTTCCCACTATGACTGAAGTATAAAAGGTTTTAAGGAGAAAAATAGGGATGAGATGGAGAAGATTTCAGTAAAATTTAAGTTGTAGTTCTGACTTAAGAGGATATACACCCAACATAAATGTTCTTTACTTCTAATTAGACAACTCATTGCCATTCACAGCACAGTTTCTTTAATGTAAAGATGCTAGAGGACCCCTTTTAGGCTTAGCCAAACTGACATTGAATAATATTAAACCTTAATTATTAAGAAATTTTATATTTTTTTCTCTTTCTCTATGTTCCTCCCTTCATCTGTCTCACCGTTCTCTCCTATCTACCCTCCCTCTATCCCTTCCTAGGGGGGAACTAGGATGGAATGTAGAATTTTGATAAATGGGGCATTGAGAGGGAAATTTGTTATTCTTTTTTAAATAATTAGCTAACTTACAGGGTGGATCTTTATTTTACATGATTCTAAGTCCCAAGGTAATAATTTTGTGTAAATTTAATTTACATAGGATTTAATAAACAATGCTTAAGGTTATATATGTTTTTCTTAGTGAATATTTTTGGAGAACATTAAATATTTTTTAAAATTTATTAAACTATGTACATCCACACAATGGAATGTTATGACTAGTAAAAAAAGAATAAAGAAGTCTTTGTTACTGAGAGAGTAGATCATCAGTATCAATTTTTAGATGATAAAGTAACAGTATATTTAGTCTGTTATAAGAAAGGGAATATGATAAGAATTCATTGTGCAACAACAGCATGTGGAGTATACTGTCTTTTTTAAGAAAGAGGGAAATAATACATTTTTATTTGCTTATATTGGCCCTCAGAAACACTGGAAGGGTGCATAAGAAACTAAGTAGTAAGATTACCAATACGGAGAAGAATGAAGGGCCACACAGTGGAGGAGGACAGCGGTGGGAGTAAGACTTCTCAGTGTATATTGTGTTATGTTGTTTCATGTTTAAACTTGTGGATTTATTTTCATACAAAAATTAATTTTTATTTTTAAATGTATTACTTATAGTTTTTTATAAACTGAAATACCATATGTTCACAAATGCTACCAATTCTTTTTCTTTCATCGTTCATGTATTGTTCATCTACAATGTAGTCGATGCTACAATAAAGTAGGATATAGGTTCAGTGGGCAAATGAGAATGTGAGGTAATCACGATGGAATGCTAAATGTCATAAGAAAGGCACAAAGTCATTGGCAGGATCAGTGAAAACTTCAGGTAGGAAATAGCATTTGAATTGATTTTTGAGAAATTGGAGAAAAATGGGTGAAGTTAAGAGAATTTTAGGTGGGGGACGAACGTAGGCACAAACATGGCAAACTATACAAAACTTATTCCAATGAGTCTTTGGTTTTGACAAGCAATAATGGATGAAAATTATCCCCAAGAATAGCTGTGGTCTTCTTGTAACATTTCAAGAAATTAATGTTTTAATTAAAGCACGTTGTTTGTCATCTGCTACATTTCCATTAAAATACTGTGGAAATAAACACAGTGTCGATACCACATGAACTAAGAATATGTACAGTATGGGAAATTTTAAAATAACTTTATAAAATATATATAATTTTATACTGAAATATTGCATAATTACAAGGAATTATATACATTACTGATATAGTTTTCCCCTGAACTATTTGAGAGTAAAATCGGAAACATTATATCCTTTTATCATTGATACATTGGTATATATTTCCTAAGATCATTCTCTTCATAACTACAGTACAGTTCAGAATCATGAAATTTTATATTGAGTCACTATTATCAGTCTACAAACCATGTTTAAATTTTCCTGATTGTCACATAATGTACTTAATAGCTGATATTCCTCAAGTCCAGGATTAAATCCAGGTTTCATACGTTACATTTAGTTGTCATGTCCCTTTATTCTCCTTTAGCCTGGAACCATTATTCCCTAGCCTTTCTTTATCTTTCTTGACATTCACATTTTTTGAGGAGCATAGGACAGTTGTTGAATGATCCTCAATTTTTCTCTTTGTAGTTAATCAGTAATTTCAGGAAGATACTTGAGACTATGTTCTTCATGAAACTTCCACCTATTAATTTTAGCTTATATTGATGATTTTCTAACTCCATCATTTCTTCTATATGCATTAGCTGGCATTCTGATATAAGAAAGAACTTTCTTTCCTCTTTCGTTTTTACTTAATTTATGTCATTATGGACTCATGGATTCTTATTTTATTGAATTTTAATGATTATAATCCGTTGAAGTTATTATTTTGATGCTTAGACTGTCCCAGATTTGGTTTTATGTTCTTTTAACATTTATTCATCACTCTTTTAGTATTTTCTTATTGTTTGGCACAAAAAAAAATTTTTTTTTTCAGATTTACCTTGCATTTTCTGTGCTCCAGGCCCTAAATCAGGCTTTTTCCTCAGATCCTTGGTTCTCCTTCTTCCACCTTCAAAACCAGCATTGGCCAATCAAGACCTTCTCACTTTGCATCTTTCTGACACATTATTCTTCCATAATCTTCCACTTTTAAGGATTTATGTAATTAGCTTGGGCCCACTCATATTCCAGGATAATCTCCCCATCTAGGATTCTTAACATTAATCATATCTGCAAAATCCCTTTACCATGTAATGTTAATAGATTCCGGGAGTTAGAATGTGGACATCTTTGGGGAGCCATGTTTCTGCCTACCACAAACAGTAATACTAACTGGTGCCTGACTTTGCTGGACCAGTTTTCCTTTTTTGTTAAGAATACCTCTGACCTTTTCCTCCTTGATTTAGTGAATACAGAAAAGGTGTTAGAATTCAAAGTCATGATAGTACTACATTGCATATAATATCTATAGTGAAATTACAGGAGAAACAGATTCTAAAAATACTGATAAAAGAAAATATGCTTACAGAGTATTGCTTTGAAAAATTGAAAGACCTTGTTTTTGAGTTTTATTAACTTGTCCTAATCCTTAGTATTAAGGCATGTGGTTATTCACACAGCAATAGGAAGTAAACCATTACAAGTAAAGAGTCTCTTAATTTAGCATAAAAACATCCCAAGATAAAAAGATACTAATTTAGAGCAATAAGTTATAATAATTTATGTGAATTTTAATAATGGATAAAACTGGATCTTAACGTGTTATTTCTTTTCTACCTAGATCATCACAAAGTATGTTTACGAACTCCTAGAAAAGGATTGTAACTTGAAAAAAATCTCTATTCCAGTAAGTCTAATTTTTTTTAATGTTTATGCTTCCGAATAAAATATTTTCAAAGAAAACTTTTGTTTTAGGTTAACTGTAATAAGTTTTAATGTTAAGGTCCTAGTATTTTGATATTGATAAAGATAATATTAAATGTCAGGATATCTAATCTTATTGTACCCAAGAGTTCTTAATACTAATACTCTTCAGTGTAAAGAAAAGAAAGACTAATTTCCAGTCTTTTTTTAAAAAATGATAACACAATTAAAAGGACAACCTTTTCTCTACCCTTTCTCATTTCATTGGTATAATCGATTTTTCTTACTTATTTGAAGTAAGCAAATGAACTTTTTGTTACATTAGACATTCATCATCTCTTTATTTCTTGATTTTTCTATTATATGTTTTATTTCTATGTTATTTTCTCTAAACATTCTGAAAGTCATTCCCTGTGTTTCCTGTTTTATAACACTACTCCCTCCCATTTTGGCAGAACACGTTTTTTTAAATTTTGCAGATGTTGCCATTTCAGAGGGAAA